ACCAGAATTCCAGAATGTCTAACAGCCACTAATCAGCAGGAGAGATCCTTCTTACTTATAGTCAACTCAAACCATTGAGAAGACAGGTCATCCTTGACCTACAGTTGTCTTAACACATGAACAGGATCACACGATCCAAGAAAACTAGGGTTACACAGGTTCGACAGTATTCAGCCGCCCCAGATTCATAGGGTTTTCACTCGGCACATGACCAAAGAAGAGAAAAATAGGGAGAACTGTACCAGTTGTAGCTATTCTGTAGTCAAGAATCAGATTTCTGTTCTGCTAGTCTGTTCGATCTGTTCTTTGGGTTGATCGGTCTTCTCTTGATAGTAGGGTCCGGCTATGATACCATCTTGACAGTGTGGCCGGCCAGAGATAAGAGGAAGAGGAGAGAAGAGAAGAGAAGAAGAGAAGAGAAGAGAGGAGAGAAGAGAGAAGGTTTGCAATGTAACAATACTGGCGGCACCAGTCTTTATTTTACTATATATAGGGCGACAAAAATAACAAGGGAAAAGACCCTTGTGCCCCTGAGTACAATAACAGACATAACATAAATAAAAAACACTTTAATTTGCCAAACAGGCCCTAACATCTGCAACTAAGTTATTTTAACATTATTCTAACAGGGAAAATAGAGGTGTGGCAAATTTGAAACTGGTGATCAATCTTTTTGAGAGAATGTCTAACTTGACTGTAAATTTGAACAAAAACCTACTGGCAGGGAAATCTAGGAAGTGAAGAGCTTAGATCATTGCTAAAACCTTGGGGTGTGAGAGTGAGGAATGACCTTTAAGGTATTTAGGTTTACCTTTAGGAGAAAACCCTAGATTGGCTAGCTTTTGGAATCCAGTGGTAGAGAGAATTGAGAAAGGACTAACTAGTTGGAAGAGGAACCATATTTCTCTGGGAGGGAGACTTACATTGATCAAATCCACTCTAGCTAATCTCCTAGTCTACTTCATGTCAGTGTTTAGGATCCCTCAAGTAATAGTGAAAAGAATAGAGAAGCTTATGATGGACTTCCTTTGGGAACCGGGGGAGGGGAAGAAAGATCATTTGGTGAGGTGGTAAAAGGTGATTAAGAAAAAGGAAGGAAGGTTGGGGATTGGCAATGTGAGCATGAAAAATCAGGCACAACTAAGTAAATGGCCTTGGTGTTTCCCTGTGGAAAGTGAGAGATTATGGCATAGAATGGTGGTTAGTATTCATGCGCTGTCAAGAAATGGTTGGGATGCGGAATGTCTGCAAAGAGCTACTCTAGCTATACCTTGGAAAGCAATTCATGGCATTCTTCACATTCTTTCCTCAACCATGTAAGGTATGACCTGGCTTCTGGTAGTAAAATAAGATTCTGGGAAGATGTGTGGGTAGGTGATTCCCCTTTGAAAGATGTCTTTCCCTCCCTCTTTGTTCTTTGCAGTTTCAAAGGTAAACCTATGGCTGACTTTATTAAACCTCACCCTTCCTCTTTTGGGTTGAATTGGAGTTTGGGGCTCACCGGAAATCTAAGAGAGTCAGAAATCCCCTTGGTGTCTAACTTGTTGAGTGTTCTAGAGTCAATGACCCTTGTTAATGATGGGAGGGATGCTCGGTGGTGGTACTTCATCTCTCCCCATTTTCCCTGTGAAAGAAATCTGGTGTATTCCTATTCCTCCAAAGGTCAGTGCATTTTGCTAGGAAGTGTCCCATGGGTGCATAAATACTTGTGACTTGTTTGTTGCAAAGGAAAAGACCAAATTGAGCCTTATCCCCTAACTGGTGCTTTCCATGTAAATTGAGTGGTGAAACTGCTTACCACCTCTTAATCTCCTGTCCCTCTGTTTGTTGTATTTAGGAATGGTTTTTTTCTCTTTCTAGTTGTAAGTGGAACCCTCCTGCCAGTTTGGACAGATTGTTTAGCCCCCCCCCCCCTTTTGAGTAGCAAAAAAAAGGTAGGATTTTGTGGAGATGTACAAGGGTAGCAGTTTGATGGACATTGTGGGAAGAAAGAAACACAAGAATCTTTGAGGAGAAGGAGAGCATCTTGGAGGTGCTAATTGATTATATTACTCTTAAAGTTGTTCATTGGGTGACAACCTTGAAACTTTTTTTCAGACTTTAGAGTGGAGGATATTTTCCTGAATTGGGTCTTCCTCTAGGAAACAAAAACCTCTAGAGGTCTGGTCTCCCCCAATGGTTGGTTGGAAGATGCTGAACTTCGATGGTAGTAGTATAGGTAACAGGGTCTTTCAGGTATCGGAGGGGTTATTAGGGATAAGGGAGGCAAAATTGGTGCCTTATTTTCAGGCCCAATTGAGCAAGGTAATTCAGTGAAAGCAGAACTCTTGGCAGCAGTTTATGGGGTAGAGGAAGCTAAAGAACTAGGAATTGATAAATTGATTATCAAAGGGGATTCAAAGGTTGTTGTGGGATGGCTGAAAAAAAAGGAGAGAGGGCAACTTGGCAGCTAAGAAATGATTTCCGTAATTTTTGTGGCTGTCAAAAGACATGAACATCCAAGTTCATTGGGTTTGAAGGTCTGCAAACAGCTTGGCAGACAACTTAGCCAAGCAAGGCGTTCAAAGACAGTTAATGTATTGGGATCAATTGTAATATGGGTTGGGGGGTGTGCCTAGTATTGGGCATGCTTATTGTCACAACTCCTTGTTGTATCCTCTTCCTTTAATTTAATAAATCTATTCTTTGTGGTTGCTGATCAAAAAAAGAAAAAAAATATATAAAAACTTTACAGGGTATCAAAGCAAGTTCTGTGGTCTGGTTAGTACTTCTTTTTTGTAAAAGGTAATGTAAATTTATTCAAACCAAACTCAATTACAGACTGAAATCAGACCCAGGAAGGCAGTCTGAAAACAGCCAGAATTACAACCTCCACCAGGAGCAAGACTGAAAAAAATAAGACAAGTTTAGATTTCTGAACTCCTCAGAAGTAGAAATCCAAGAAATCAACTTGCCCACTGCTCTCTGAATTACATCATCAGGACTTTTAGCTCTATTACAAAAAATCCTACTATTCCTTTCTGCACAAATGGACCACAAGACAGCATACTTTCTATCCCTCTTTTCGTATTTTCCATCCCTTTCTCTTTTCTAATTGGTAAATATCAAAGAAGATTGAGATCCAGTCACCTTTCCCTCTTTGTGAGCAACCTAGAGATGTGATAAGATTCCCTCTATTTGTTTAAATATGAAGACAAATCAAGAAGACTGTGGTGGTAAACAGTTTGCAGAACCAAAAGTAAGAATTTTTATGCAGCTCATGAGCTATAAGACACACTACTGCTGGTTAATTCAGCCTTCTTTGAGAATTATTCATTCTTCCCTTATTAACAGTCAGCCAAGGCACCTCCTCACTCCCAGGCCAGAGCTAGATTATTTAATGGTGTTTGATGGCAGCTGTAGATCAATTTCCAGCCAGATTCCGGCAGCTGGCATTGGGGGAGTTATTCTAAACAGAGAGGGTTCAGTGGTTTGGGCTTATAGTAGTCCTGCAGGTGCAGTAGATGCTTCTGTGATGATGGGGTTATGTGAAGAACTTAACATATACCAGCCTGTTATCTCTGATATCACCATGATGCAACAATAAAAGAACACTTTTTATGTCACCAAAAAGTGAGTTTATTCTCCAAACCACAAATTTTCACTTCACACTCAGTGATAGATTGCATTGAGTGTAAAGTGTCCCAGCCCATGCATGAAGCTCCCGCCAATGTGGGGTCTGGGGAGGGACAGATGTATGCAGCCTTACCCCTACAGATGCATAGAGAGGCTGTTTCCAAATTGAGTGTAAAGTGTCCCACTTCAATAAACACTAGAGAGTTTCTTCTCCATCTAAAGTTATGAGTTAAGTGTCACATCCTTTATAGCTACTACATTCAGATGTTTGGGGACCATGTCCTGTTTTGTATTATTTGGGATTCAGAAATCTTGCCACTTTTGCTTTCAATTTTAAATTTTTTTATGGAAATAAAGATGTAGTTTGATTATACTAAAATAAAGATGTAGTTTGATTATACTATGTATGCACTTTAGTCTATAATGCAAAAGAATATTTATCATTCCCTTTTGATTATATATAAAAGAATACTTGAAACTATAAACTAGGTGACCTGTTTAGATAAATTATGTGCAAACAGGTAAAACAAGAAAATAATGATAATCCACACAAGTAGGAATTATGACTGCAATTGTCAAATGGTTCAGTTTTGAATTTCAAATTTCATGCCAATTTTAAGCTTGAGATTTTGGTCTCTTTAAATCTTATTTCCAAATTCCATGTTTTGTTTCAACATATTGTATGTGGAGCAAATAAATTTACAATAGTTCCAAAGTGTAGGATTTGTGTTCCGTTTTTTGTTAACTTGTCCAGAAAAATAAGTGAGCAAAAGACTTCTAACTGAATGTCAACTTGATTTTAAATCCTGATAAAACATATAGCCATGGAGACAAGTTTAGTGCTGCCAAATGTTAAACAGAAACTCCAATGAATTTAATCACAACCAATAAGTATTAAACCACAATCCTAATTCCAAGGGGAAGGCAAAAGGAGATACACTAAAAAGGATAAGCGGAAAGGATTCAATTCAAGTTCGAGTTCCAAATACGGTATATATGTCGTCAATTTCAGAATAAGAAGAACGCGGAAAGATTAATATGAAAAGAAAGAAAATAAATCCGATACAGGATAAGCCATTCTAGTGAGATCAAAAAGAGCTTAAATCAAAGAGAGGACCTATGGATCTGATAAGATCTTTGTTAATTGATTAATTAAAAACTAAGATCCATAAAAACGAAAGGCCAATAAAACCAGATCAGAGGTGAAACTTCGCAAATGAAGTCAGTTCAGAAGTAGAAATATACAGATACGCATGAATATCAGAGAGAAAGAAGGCGGGAGGAAGGGAGATGAGATGATATTACCTTGTACTGAGAATTGAGCTCGTCTTTGAGTTCAGGGATTTCTCCCTTTTTGGTGGTGGAAAAATACTTAGAGTCGTGTCCACTCATCGCTTCTCTCTCTCTCTCTCTCTCTCTGCTCAGTCGTCCGACGATGGAGCAGCCAGAGAAGAAGAAAATGGCCCAAAAGACCGGTGGTTCACCGAGCGAATAAATGAGTACGTTTTACAGTCGGACCATTTCCACGAACCAGTTATTCTGGCCATTTGCACCATTCAACAGTAGACCCTAATAATGGTATGCCTTCTCGGATATTACCCATAATGAGTCAATTGGAATTTACTCCTCACACGCGCGCCTCACAGCCACATCCCACCCTGGGAAATGTTCCTGATGTGCAGCCTGGACATGCTGTGAGGTCGGTGTGAGGCGTGCACTCTGTAAGGAGCAGATTCAGACTCATAATGAGTTTACACACCTTTTAGTTTTTTATTTTATTTATATTTATCTGGAATCTGGACTACCTTCCTAGACTCAGAGTCTCACACACATCCACGTCATAGAGCACACCTCATGCCAATCTGACAGCCCGTCCTAGCCACACAATAGGAACATCTCCCATATTTTTATTTAGGGAAAATTTCTTAAAGTACCCCTATAGTTTAGGAAATTGATTAACTCTACCTTGTTTATATATTGTCTTAAAGTACCCTCCAAGTTTTCTAACAATTGACATCACTGGGAAACTAAAATGTCAAATTTGCTATTCACTATTCCTTAAATTTTCAAAATGAAACCCAATTGATGAAAATTTTCAAGAACCGTAAGATAGTTTCGATCCATTGGAAGGATGAAGAGGAATGAGGTTATTCTTGTTTTTATTATTAATAAATTCTATAATTTCTTCGGTTTCACAGGTCTGGGTTTGATGGAAATCCATATAGAACTTTACTCTAATGCTCCTTAAAAAACTAGATTTGATCCGTGTGACAGTCACTTGAAGCATCAAGGGTGCAAACTGGGTTGATGATTTAATACATGGTTGTGCGATCCATGTCTCCAGTTAAATAGGTTGAACTACCAAACAAGCTAATTGATTACTGGGTTTTAAGACTATGGCTTCTCGGAGTACAAAACCACATGGAAGTTATAAAAAGAAGAGTTAGAGATTTAAACAAAAAAAAATAGAATTTAAAACCGATACATCAAACACATCAATCACTCTTGAGAAAATCATGGTGTTAGTAAAAGTTCTGGTCGTAGTAGAATCATAAAAATGAAGAGCAATGAGTTGGTTTATTCTTGAGGACACACCCTACATTAGAGTTTATCCGCATGGCTATATAAACCTCATTTTTTTTAAGGGAAAATTCCTAATTAGTACCATGTACTTTGGGCCTAGTGCCACTTTGGTTCCCAAACTTTAAAATGCGACAATTCAGTACCCAAACTTTCAAAATGTGTCAATTTAGTACCTACTATTAACCAGCCATTAAGTGGCATTTGAAAATACACAAATGCCCTTCGAGTGCCATCTAACTTTCTTTATCAACCATCCAAACGATGATAAAATATGATCAGTCCCAAATCCTCGCCTATTCTATTCAAGAAAGTTGGGGTCACCATAATGCCCACTGAAACGTGACCTTAACTTTCTTGAATAGAAGAGGCAAGGATTTGGGACTGTTCATTTTTTGTCAACACTTGGATGGTTGATAAAGAGAATTAAATGACATTCAAAGGGCATTTATGTCTTTTCAAATGTCATTTAACGGCTGGTTAATAGTAGGTACTAGATTGGCACGTTTTGAAAGTTCAGGTATTGAATTGTGACATTTTAAAGTTCGGGGACCAAAGTGGCACTAGGCCCAAAAACAAAATAGTTTTTTCACCCTCTCTATTCTTTCGAGAATTCTTTAAATGTACCTCATTTTACACCAGTGCATAAAGCTCTTATTCCTTGTATTGTGTTGGTTACCGGTGTTAAAATGATTTCCTTGATTATATTTGTAGTTGTCTGAAAAACACAAAGTTTTGTGGCAACATTAAGAAAGAGAGTTCCAATGCATTGTACCAATCTGTAAGCTTCGAATGAGCATTATATATGCTGAGATTCGAGATACTTGAGAGTGGACATGGCGGAAACACACTCATCTCAATCATCGGTTGATCAATTTGAACCATATCCATTAGTAAAGAGGGGATGATTAATCCTTCCTTCAAATCCTCATCACAACAAAGATTTTGGTTTCTTCTCAAGAAAATGGTACTTTAGGAATTAAAAAAAAATTATCAATCATGTGATGTCATGTGTGAACGGAGTGTGATGGAAAGTTAACAGTAAAGGAGGTTTTAGACAATTGTCAGAAAACTTAAGGGTACTTTAAGACAATATGTAAACAGTAAGAGTAGAGTTGGTCAATTTCCTAAATCATAGGAGTACTTTAAGAAATTTGCCCCTTTTATGTATTCATGGGGGGATGTTCCCAATACACGGTGGGATGTGACTGTGAGGTCTGTGTGAGGAGCAGATCCCATCACCACATCTGCGGCATCTGCTATGACCATGGTAGCAACAATACATTTTTGACCTAGTGAAACATGGACACACATCACCAATCATGGAAAAAAAAGAAGAAGCAATTAAGTGGATGTTTTAAACTTATTTCCATTGCTGGCATGATCATGTTTTATTAGGTCCAACATGGGGCTGTAACTTGGGTGGATGTAGCTAAAAGCCCAACCAGTCTAAGCCAGTTAAACTCTTGGACTTTGGACTGGACTCGGAAGTGAAATCGAGCATAGTTTATACCCCTGGGTGATCCAAGCTAGGGGTGAGCATTATTTGGTCAAAACCAACAAATCAAATAAAAAATTTTGGTTTGGTTTTTGAGAATTTTGATTAACCGGAAAAAAAAACTAAATTAACTGAATTTCATTATATAACATGTAATATATAATATATAATATGCTATATATTTATATATTTATATATTTATATATATTATAATGAATTTTAGTTTCATAATATATATATGTATGTATGTATGTATGTATGTATGTATGTATGTATGTATGTATGTATGTATGTATGTATGTATGTATGTATGTATGTATGNATGTATGTATGTATGTATGTATGTATGTATGTATGTATGTATGTATGTATGTATGTATGTATGTATGTATGTATGTATGTATGTATGCATGCATGCATGAATGAATTATAATATAATATATATGTCAGAATATATAATATTTCATGTATGTTAGTGAAATTTGATTTTAACCAAAATAACCAAAAACTGAGTTGAAAATTTCAGTTTTGGTTATTTCGATTTTCTTGTAATTTAGTTTTGGTTTGGTTTTTATTTTTTATTTTGGTTTTGAAAATTTTGGTTTATTCGGTTCAAAGTCAAACCTAATAAACCAAATGCTCACCCTTAATCCAAGCCCGAAAAAATCTCACTGCCTGAATCTGATATCTAATATAGTTTGAATTTTAGCATTATATTAAAATTATTGTTAGACCTCATTGTAGTATGGGTCTGTGACAAATACCCCATTGAACTTTCATTTGCGATAAATACCCCTTAAGTTTAACTTCACGACAAATACTTGTGACTATTAAGTCAAATGACGAAATGTGATAAATTACCAAAATGCCTACTTGAACTTTCCTTATTTTCTTTTTCTTGCCCTTCTCTCTTAAACCCTAATTGACCAAAAAATGCCTCCATTTTCTTCAAATGAAACTTGCTAAAATAACAAGAATCATTTCATTAACATAGAAAAAAATGTTTTCTTACATTCATTTCATTTCATTGGCATTTCATTGACATGAATGCCTACTCCTTTCTCCAATACATCAAGAAAAAAAAACAAACAAAATCATAAATTTATATCTATCAAAAAGAAACCTCTACCATTTCATTTGAATATTAAATCCAACAAGAAATCTACAAATATTTATTAGAGCAATCAAGAGGACTTCAATGTTATATTTAGAAAATTAATGGAATTATAAAACATTTATATAAATAAGAAAATGGTAGTTTGGATATTTAAAAATTTTTAAACAGCTGAATGATAGTATTTTTTAAATTAACTAACGGAACTCTAATGAAGAGGGTATTTATCACAAAGTGAAAGTTTAAGGGGTCTTTTATCACAAATGAAAGTTCAAGAGGGGTATTTGTCACTAACCCCATAGTACGAGGGTCTTTGTAATTTATCCTTATTATTATGATGTAAATTATAAATATAATTTAGGTATTTATGTAAAACAATTTGAACCCTAAGGCTCTGTTTGGGAAGAGTGTAAATAAAAATTCAGTGCAAAACCTTGTATATAGGTATTTTTAAACCTTGTATTTGCGCTGCACATATTTATATTTGTGGTATTCCCAAAGTGAACCTATCTTTTAGAAGGCCTCTCAGGGAAAATTCGTTCATTAACAAACTCAGTTTACAATAGTGAAGGAAAGAAAATTAGGTAATCAAGTTTTTACTCTTGTACAAGAAGTAGCATGTTTGGCTACTTTGTGGGCAACCATGTTCACTTTTCTAGAAATATGACAAACCAAGAAATTTGAGAAGTGACGCAACAGTTGTTTTCACTCAGCGACGAAAGCATCTGACTAAAACGAGTGCATCACTCTCAACTGAGATATTAGAAGTACCCACCTCCAACACCAAGTTCAGACCCTTCAGTAGTGCCAACGCTTCAGTGATCAAAGGGCTTTCTTTCTTACAGGGAATCGCTCTGGCAAAGAGGAATTCATTGGCACTATTTCGAAGTACCATACCGCCACCAGACATGTTTATTCCAACCATGGTTTTAAAAAGTGACCCGAAAACAGAATCCACCGGTTTCCGAGTTAATGGTTAAACCGTCTAATTCAAATGAATGGTCCATTCTAACAACAAAAAAATAACAAATAAAAATAAAAAATGACCAAAATCATTGAACATGGGTCAACGATTCGACCACCCGGGTGAATAAATTGTTGACCAATTCACCAGTTTTTGGACAAGGATTGAATTTGAGGTAAACGGTTTTTAGACAAGAACCGATTGCCTGAACGATTCCCGGGCCAAATGGTCTGACCATCCAAGTCAACGGCGATTTAAAAACCATGTTTTTACTACTCCCCGTGGTGTTTTTGACCACCTAATTGTGCTTAGGATCTAGTGAGAAAGGTATTACTACATTGTGGGCCATGGCATCAGAGATAGAAGTTTGGAAGATTGTTTT